GTTGAAGTCCACCCATATTCAAGCATGCTGACTGGGGAATACTGGGAGTTGAAGTCCACCCATATTCAAGCATGCTGACTGGGGAATTCTGGGAGTTGAAGTCCACCCATATTCAAGCATGCTGGCTGGGGAATTCTGGGAGTTGAAGTCCACCCATATTCAAGCATGCTGGCTGGGGAATTCTGGGAGTTGAAGTCCACCCATATTCAAGCATGCTGACTGGAGAATTCTGGGAGTTGAAGTCCACCCATATTAAAGTATCCTGGCTGGGGAATTCTGGGAGTTGAAGTCCATCCATATTTAAACATGCTGGCTGGGGAATTGATAACGACATCACTGGAAGTTTTTAAGAAGAGACCGGACAACCACTTATCCGGAATAGCTATAGGGTCCCCTGCTGGAGCAAGGGGTTAGACTAGAAGACCTCCAAGTTCCCCCCAAGCCCTATGATTCTTTGATTTGAAAGCTAACAGATGTTAAAAGACCAAGCAGATATTCTCTCTGCATCCCCTCATCACACCTCTGCCTTGAGTATCCCAACTCCCATCTTCCCCAACCCTGCCCTCTGCTTTCCATCCTCACCTTGCCTCCAATCATGACTGTCCGTGGCACAAAGTGCTTGTTCGGTTCTCTCTTGATTCCTGTTGGGGGGAGTAGCGGGGGGGGAGAGAACAGCCCACAGTCAGATGAGAAACAAAAACTAGCTTCTCTTCTGGTTTCCCGTCTCTCCCTGCGAATCCTTTCAAAGGCAGGATTCGCACGGCCAACTTAGCCAGAAGTCCTGCATTCATTGAACTCATTCCTTTACTGCTTCTGAGAAGTAGCGGTTTGGTGCAATGGGGAAGGGAGCTGTCTAGAAACTGGGTGAGGGTGAGTTCTAGTCCTCACCTTAGGCATGAAAGCCAGCTGAGTTAGACTCTCTCCATCACAGTTTTATGGTGGGAAAAGAGAAGTGAGGGGTGGGGGAGGCTTAAAGTGGACCAAGTAAAATCAAGATGGGATATAAATCCGACAATAATGAAATAATCAATGAACCAGGTTTAGCTGAGCTGGCATAATGTGCTAGGCACAAAATAATTTGCAAAACTGAAGAGGAGCTGAGCTTATAATGTGCCCTTGGTTGTTTGGGGATGGATGGGTGGATGGATGCAGACAAAAGGAGAAAGAAAGAAAGAAAGAAAGAAAGAAAAGAAAGAAAGAAAGAGGGAAGAAGGAAGGAGAGAGAAAGGAGGGAAGGAAGGAGATAAAAGAGGAAGAAAGGAAGGGAGGGAGGAGAGAGGCAGGAGGGCAGGAGGATGGAAGGAGAGAAAAAGAAGGAAGGAAGAGAAAGGAGAGAGAAGGAAAGAAGGAGAGAAAGAGGAAGGGAGGGAGGAGAGAAAAAGGCAGGAGGGCAGGAGGAAAGAAGGAAGGAGAGAAAGAAGGAAGGAAGGAGATAAAGAGGAAGTAAGAAAGGAGAGAGATAGAGATGGAAGGAAGAAAAAAGAGAGAAGGAAGGAAAGAGAGAAAGGGAGGAAGGAGAGAAAGGGAGGAAGGAGAAAAGCGGAGGAAAGGTAGGGAGGAAGGAGAGAAAAAGAGGTGGGAGGGCAGGAGGAAAGAAGGAAGGGAGAAAGAGGAATTAAGAAAAGAAGGAGAGAGAAGAAAGGAAAGAGAAAGAGGAAATAAAGGAAGGAAGGAGAGAAAGAGGAAGGAAGAAAGGAAGGAGAGAGGAAGGAAGGGAGGCAAGAAACAAAAGGAAGGAAGGATCTGAATTTCACCCAGAGAATACCAAATCCCACCAATGCCAAAACGTGGGAGAGACTCCTGAAGAAAAGGGGGGGGGTATTCATTCTCCCCATGTCTGTCCGCCCTGTAGCCACAGCCGGAGGACGGCACTCACTGTTGTAAAGTGTGATGACATGCAGGCAGTTGAGCAGCTGCCTCTTGTACTCGTGGATCCGCTTCACCTGCACGTCGAAGAGGGAGTTGGGGTTGATCTTGACCTTGTATTCCTTCTCCAGGTAGACAGAAAACTTCAACTTGTTCTCCTAAAACCAAGGCGGGGGACGGGGTGCAACGTAAACTTTGGGCTCAACTGTAGTTGTAAGCCGAGGACTACCGGAACGTATTTGGTCCCAGCCTGGCCAAAATCACACCTCTCCCCCCACTCCCAACCTCCTCACCTGTTTGATTTTGGCCACATCCCGGATGAAACCTTCGTCATCCACAAAATTGAGAAGTTTCTTCAGCTGATCCAGATCAGAGATGTAGTCTTCTCCGATGCGCTAGAGAGGAAGTTACAGAAAGCAAAATTAGATTAGACTGGATGATTAGATTAGATGAGATTAGAATTCTTTGTTGGCCAAGTGTGATTGGACACATAAAGAATTTGTCTTTCGGTGTACGTAAAAGAAAAGGTATATTCGTTACAAATCATAAGGTACAACACTTAATAATAGCCATAGGGTATAAATAAATCAAATCATACTAGTTTTATTGTTTTTATATGAGGTTTTATATTCCGTAAGCTGCCTTAAGTCACTATGTGCGAATAGGTGGCAATATAAACTCCATAAATTCATAAATAAATGCATAAATTCATAAATAAGTAAATAAATAAATATTTTTAAAAAATGAAAAAACCCTCATTGCTCCTGCAGGCATATTTCAGCTTCTACATACAATTCCTTTCCCTGTATTGGATACCTCAGACAGTCAGAAATCAAACCCAACAACTAAAAATGCTTTTAAGTGGTTTTGTTCCCCCAACACTGTCCTTTTGGGTGGGTGGGGGTCACAGGAAACAGGAGTCCCACTGCATCTATTCAGTGAGAACAATTAACCAGTGGAACAGCTTGCCACCAGAAGGTGTGGGTGCTCCATCACTGGATGCTTTTAAGGAAAAGATTGGCCATTTGTACAGAACGGTATAAAAGGGCTCCTGCTTGAGCAGGAGGTTGGACTAGAAGACCTCTAGGGTCCTTTCCAGCCCTGTTACCCTGTTAACTATATGATTAAAATATTTGGGAATTGCTAAGCAGCAACCATTAGATGCAAGTTTCAACACCCAACACTCAACAGAAGCTTCATACCATCTGCAAAACCATGCTTTTATAACCAATCTTCATCAAACAAACCACAATGGGCTGGCTGAACTGTAAACCATGATTGACAATCTATAATCGGCTGGGATAGACAAGAGCCTAACTCTGAATGCAAATCAACTTGGCTCAGCATCTTAAACAGAGTTTATGCATCCAATTTTTTTTTATTTGAACCGCATCATTTCATTAATCATTCGCTTTGATTTCAACCAAATCGAATTAACCTAATTTAATTTGTTGGTGTTAACTGCCTGCCGTTTGGAGAAAAGTAAAAAAAAATAAAAAATAGGGAAATTCATGGCCAGAACAGATATTTTGGGGAAAGCGCATGGAAAATCTTTTGCAGATAAAAAGTTTAGTGACTAAAACTCCTTGCTTGATCTCAAGACACTCTGGGCTAATTTTGGCCTAATTGCTTTCTCTCAATCCTGCTGCCTGGAATTCAACATCTACAAGAAAAAATAGGCTATAAATAAACAAATCAATATTAGGGAAAACTGCCAATGGGAAAGGAAGTGACTGTTTTAATGGATTATTTCATTTTTTTTAAAAAAGGAAATTATTAAAAACCACAGCAGCAAATAGCTATTAAGGAAGGTCGTAAACCAATTTATATTGATCGGTCCATTTTTACTCTCCACCACTTCCAGGCTAAAAACCATCATAAATTTGCCCCCAAATAATAGTATTTTGGAGATGAGCTAAGAATGGTTTGTGGCGGTGATGGGGTTTTATTACTGTTGTGGCCAGCACGGCTGGCAGCAGATTCGGACAGTGAGGAGGTTGGGGAGGAACACGGGCCAGTCCTGGAGTCTGGGGAAGGCTCTGATGAGGTCTCTGGGTCGGAGGCAGAGAGGGGGCCACAGTTATATGTCAGTTATCAGCTGCCTTCNATTTCGTTGCTCTTGTTTTTAACTTTTGGTTACTTGAAAAATTTCACTTGAAAAATTTCAGCCCACTGTTGTATTGTCTCCTGCATGGATGAAGATGGAAGAAGGCCTTTGATTTCAGGCAAAAATTTTAAAAAGGGTGGGTGGGGAGGAAATTATCATAATTTTTAAAGTTAGGATTCTTAAAGCTTCGCTTTAAGCTGCCCCCTGCTGGACACCCATCCCAACGGCGGAAAAGAGAGGCTGAGCGAAATACTGTACCCCCCAAACAGATGCTGATGAGAGGGGTGGACTTCAACTCCCAGAATGCCTCAGCTAGAACATGTGGACTTCAACTTCCAGAAGGAAAGATGGCTGCGGGATTCTGGGAAGAGATGTCCATCCACCCCAGAGCTGCCAAGTTGGGAAACGCTAAATATATGGCCATATTTATTCAATTGATTAAAGGCCTGATTATACCAGCGATTTATGAGCAAATGCCTATAGATGTAGACTATGGATGGATAAGCATAATAAAATATGGGAACCATTTAAATGAAACACAGTAGGTTTTTAAAAAAGCATATTTATGTAATGTATGTGTATGTATATTCTAATACACTTATATAACTATCATGCAAACATTATAAATCTTATTTTTAATAAATATTTACAAATTATAAATATAACAATATATATTTTGTAAATGTTTATTTACAAAATATAAAAACATTTATTACACAATTACTTAATTATATAATACATATATATTCATAATATATGCCTTAGTTACTTCTAAGTAGAATGGCAACCATTTTTTTTTTTTGGTAACTTTTGTACTATATTTTACGTATTTTTTGTTAATTTTTTTAAAGCACTTGTGGTTTTTAATAATGCATGGGTCATTGTGTTTTGTTCCTTTTAAGCTCCCCCCCCCCCGGCCTATTACTAACAGAATATCAGACAAAATAACAGAGTTGGAAGGGACCTTGGAGGTCTTCTAGTCCAACCCCTTGCTCAGGCAGGAGACAGATTAACAGAGATTAACAGAGTTGAAAGGGACCTTATAGGTCATCTAGTCCAACCCCTCCGGACCAAGCAGGAGACCCTGCACTATTTCTGACCGAGGGCAGCCCAGTCTCTTCTTGAAAGCCCCCAGGGATGAAGCTCCCACAACTTCCGAAGGCAATTTCTGTCCCATGGGTTGATTGTTCCCACTGTCAGGAAATTCCTCCTTATTTCCAGGTTGAATCTCTCCTTGGTCAGTTTCCATCCATTGTTCCTTGTCTGGCCTTCAAAGGTGCTTTGGAAAATAGTTCGACTCCCTCCTCTCTGGGGCAGCCTTCCAAATATTAGAAGACTGATATCATGTCTTCACTGTTCCTTCTCTTCGCTAGATTAGCCATGTCCAGTTCCTGCAACTGTCCATTGTATGTTTTCGCCTCCAGTCCCCTAATCATCCTGGTTGCTCTTCTCTGCATTCTTTCTAGAGTCTCAACACTTTTTTTATAGTGTGGTGATCAGAACTGGATGCAGGATTCCAGGTGTGGCCTTACTAAGGCTTAATAGAGTGGTATTAGTA